CGTTACTGAAGTTTGGGGCAGGGTTATTTAACGATTTGCTGAGAAATCTGGGGCCGAAAACGCAAAGTACCGAACGGGCGAGTTGGACCAGGAGGAGAAGGTAGCTGGGCAGCTGCGGCGCCGCCCCCGCCTGCTCGCCTGCACGGCGGCCCGGGGCGCGCGGGGCTCGGGCTGCGCGCCGAGCAGAGCGAGCATTTCGCAGGAAGAGGAGCGCGCCGCCTCGGTGTCCCCGGCCGGGGTGTTGGCGCGCCGCGCGGAGCGGGCGCTCCGGCCGCCGGGCGCCCAGACCGAGAGAGCCCCGCGCTCGCGTCCCGGCGGCGGCGTCCCTCTCCCGGCGAGCGCGGCGGCCCACGGGAAGTTAGCACCTGGGATGTGCGCGTCTGCTCCTCCGTGTGTGCACGCGAGGAGTGTACGTTTCTCCGGGCACGTCACACAACATGGGTCGCCTTAACCTTCGTGGAAGCTTACGCGTTCTGTCTGGAGGCTGGTCGGGTTGGTGGAAACTTTTGTTGAGTGTGTGTACGTGAGAGTGGGCGCGTGTCCCCACCCTCCTCTTGGTCGCCCCCAACTCCCACCTCCACCCTACCCCCACCCAGCCCGTGCAGGGCGAAGTAGTCCTATATAGCGATGATAAATATCCCTGTTGATCACTTGATTGATTACCTCCCTGAAAGGTCACGCGGGCTCGCAGTAATTTCCTTTTGCCTAAGGCTCCCTTTTCACTTTTACTCCGGCACGACAGCTCCGAGTACACGGGATTTTTATTTTTTTATTTTAACCCCTAAATGCAACCCCTCCCGAAAACAATGCGGACGAGAAAAATCGAATAAAATCAACTCGAGACCTTTTCGCTCACTCGCAGCCGCCCTTCCCAATTTGCTACTTCCTTTCGTGTCGCCACCGCCCCCTCCTGCCCCGACCCCCTCTCCCCAACTCAGATGTATTCTGGACACTGTTTAATAGATGAGTGTCTTGCAAGTAAACTCGGGCATCCCTTGGGTCTGCATTTCAGGTCTATGACTCTCTCCCTTTTTTTCCTGTGGACTGAAAATTCGGATTTAAACCACTAGACAAGCTATTAATTTAGCTAGGCTACCCAGGGTCCTGAACCCAATTAATTTCTAATAATTATAGCCTAAGGGGGCTAGATAGATCTCCCTGCCTCTTTCTTTTATTGCCTCTCCACGCCACCGGGGTCAGCGTATAATAATAAAGTGTATATTTTGAAAGCCATCTCCAGAACAGTGAGTTATTGCAATGAATGAAAATTGTTTCCATTTTGGCTAATTGAGCCCATGACCGAAAGCTGGAGCTCTGAGACTAAATAAAGAGGACTGTTTCATTTCAACATGAAACCCCTGCCTAGCTCTGCTCACCCACCAAGAGTTTAATTTCTTAACAGCCAACCTGAAACCCAGCATTGGGTAAACAGTATTAATAATTACATTACAATGATTAAATTAATCTTGCTGGTAGCCAGGAGAGTGCAGGTTGCGATTGAATAGCACGATGTAAAGTTCATTGCACAAAGACAATAGGCCAAGAAATAACTCCATAAAGAATTCAAACTTTCTTCCAGAGATACTGTAGGGCAAGCTCAGTTATAATGAGAAGAAAGGAATATTTCTTGTGGCGTGTAGTGTATTAAAATCGGTTTCTTGCCGGGTTTTGGTGCTAATCAAAGAAACAGTTGAGAAAGGGGTATCCTCCCGGTCTTCTTTTCAGCAACTCGTCTTCCTTCCGACTTCCACCTCGTCTACTTCGGTTTACAAAAAGAAAAAAAAAAAAAAAAAAAAAAAAAAAAAAAAAAAAAAAATCCTACACTACCCCGTCCCCTGCTGCCGCCATGAAAACAATAAAAGAGGCAAACTCAAAACAGCTCATAAGTTCATCCAGCTTCCCAACGAGGTGCTGCTTCCAGCATGCCTGCTTCCGAGAGAGGAAACTTAAAGAAAACTCGTAGCTGGAGACCTACCCTACCGTCCCTCAAGGAAACGAATTTCAGGAGAAGAAGGGTGGGCGGGGGATGCGTGGTGGGCAGCGAGGGCGGCCCTAGCAACTTGTAGGAGGCCTCTTGGCCCCTGCGCGAAGGCCAGCTCCGGTGTCCCGTTAGAGGGTGTCGGGAATGCCAGGGGCCGTCGCCCAGACACAGTCACCTGCTCTGGTCTCTCGGCTGGAACTAGGGGCAGGTGGAAGTGAGTGGGAAGGGAACTGGGACACTGCAAGCGCGCAGGGCGGGGGCACGGCGCAGTGGGCGCAGTGGGCGCAGTGGGCGCAGTGGGCGCAGTGGGCGCAGTGGGCGCAGTGGGCGCAGTGGGCGCAGTGGGCGGTGAGCTCGCAGGGCGGCCGTCGGCCGTTTGCTCCAGCAAGTTAAACACACTTGAACCGGCAACTTGGCGCTTTTATGAACGCACCCTTGGGGCTGAAAGAAAATGACAAAGGCAGGGAGGAGAACAGGACAGGAAGGAAAGAGGGGGGAGAGGGGGAAAACACAACTTTCTGAGTTGAAAAATTTAAAACAATTCTATTGTGCAAATAAGGGGATGGGGAGAGAGAAACACCCCCCCCCCCCACACACACACACACACTCGCACACTGCTTTGGTCTGGGGCCCAGAAGACTTAGTGTGTATCTCACTTAGAAATATATCCCCAAATTCACCGAAGTCTTCCACCTCCATCCTGTTCCCCTCTCAGAACTCTTCCTACCCTCTAGCCTGCCACTTTCCCTTGTGGATCTGGGGCTTAATCTGAGGTTTGGGTCTAGCATCTCTGCATTTTCTAGAAAATTCTCCTGCATTCCTCCTCCCCTCCTCCCCCTTAAGTCGACCAGAGACCCGGACAACCTTCCCTCCCCTCCTTGAGGGAAAATGAATTAGTAAGAGGGGTAGTACTTCTCCCCACCCACCACATCTTTAAGCACCCCCCATCTCTCTCTCTCTCTCTCTCTCTCTCTCTCACACACACACACACACACACACACACACAAACACACACCACCGGTGAGACTGTGCAGCCAAATGCTCTAGATAGAGCCTCCTCCTTCCCATTGGGACGCGTCTCTAGGAGCCAGGTTCATGTGGATCTGGGCTTCCTGGGACTTGGGGGCAAGGTCCTGTAGGTTCTGACAGCAGGGGTCCTTCCCTCCCGTCCCCCTCTTTTGTCACACAGACAGTCCCCTTCCGACACGGTGAAGTTGCTGGCCAGGAGATGTGTTTGTTTCCTTAGAGCTTTAGTCACCTTCTCCCAGCCTCTCAGGTCCTGTTTCTCCATTTCTCCAAAAGGGACTCTACCTAAAATTCAAGGTGTAGCAGAAAGTTTCAGAGTGGAAGGCAGACGTCTTGGGCTCCACACTCAGTATGTTGAATCGTCTGTGCGTCTGCAGTGCCCGGTGGGTAACCCCTCTCACCTCGGGGCACAGGTAACAGGAGTTGCAGTCTGGGAAGAACGCAGGTGCCCCTCTAACCACAGTGGATGAGAACTCTCTAGTGGCCCTGGGGACTGGACACCAGAAACTCTCTTCAGGAGGTCGTTACACCCTCGCTCCATGTAATGCCCTTTCTTACTCCCCCCAGGTCTCTTTCTCACATTTCAAGGTTATACATCTACCTGCTTTGGGATCTGTAGCTTGGTTCTCCAGGGACTTGTATCTTACGCTCCAAATGCACCCGGAATTACACAGATATAAATGCAGGAAAACGGTGGACATCCTTTGCCACAGTGAATCCTTGAAACTTAGATTCTCTGGAATAAAGATGTTTGCAGGCCATTGACAAACCTGGCAGTTTGCTTTCGCAGCCTTAGTTCCAGTGATCACCATAAATACCCACAGGGACATCGGGGCATTCTCAGTAGCCACAAGTCACCTTCCTTGCCGTTTGCCACACTCATTCCCAGAACTTGCTTTTTTTTTCCTTCTTTTTTTCTACCCTGAGCATCAAGGATATATTATTGCAGCATGCAGATGGAAAACATTGTAATTTTCTTTTTATGGTGTCGGGCAGGATTTGCAACAGATAATAATGCAGACATAAATAGCACATGGTAGGTACTGAACAAAATTGTTTAATACAAGGAGGTTGTACCAAGAGAAAAAAAATCGATACCTGTTGGGATTGATTCATATCGTGAGCATTGCCAGCCCCTTTAGGAGTTCCCCATTTCTGAGTACCCACCTCCTTGGCAAGTCCTGAAATTAAAGCAAACTTAAATAATAGACTTTTAAAGGGCGTTGGGGTTGGTTTTCCTTCTTGTGCTTGTGACCCCCAAAGGCTGTGAGTTTAAGCGAGTCAAGCTGAGCTACACAGGAGGCTGTCCACCCAGGCAGCCCTGGGGAAGGCAGGAAGGTCACAGGGAAGGCAGGAGGTCTTGGATGTCAACTGTCCCGGTGACCAGGACCTGGAACGCCAGGGCGATCGTTACCACTCGGTGGAGACAGGCTACCGCAAACCTCCAAGGAGGGAAGTGCGTTGGGGTGACACCTAAAATCGAGAAAGAAAATTATTCTCCGGCTTCCACCTCTGAGAACGGAAGCCGCGCTAGCTCCAGCAGCAGAAGCGGCAGCGGGCATGCCCAAGTTCAGGAGGATTCGCATTTTCCCCTGGGTCCTTGGCCGAGGGTCCAGCCCCTGTCCCAGCTTTGCAGTAGAGGGAGAGGCTTTTTTAAATTTCCCTCTACTTTTTTTTTTTTTTTGCTTTCCTCGTGGATGATAAAGAAAAATGTCTACAATTTGTGATAAGAAAAACAATAATAGTTGTAGCACAGGCTCAATAAGAGTCCAACACGGAATAAATCCTCTACGCAAGTCTTCATCCTCCCTCCCCCCCACCTTTTTTTTTTTTTTCTTTTTTGGGCGAGGTATCTGTTCCCCTCGGCCTCCCCGCTCCTTCCCCGCCCCCCGACGCCCTCCCCGCAGCTCTCTTTCTCCGCCTCCTCGGCGATTGCCATCTGACAAGATCTCCAAATCAAAGTGATAAATCGCTCCAAACTTTTTTTGGCGGCGCTGAGATGTTGGAGGGGCGTCTAGCGCGCATGTGCGAAGGTGTCCAAACTGACAATGCTGGAGAGATAGCGAGCGTGGATTGAGAGAAAGGGAGAGAGGGAGGGAGAGTGAGGGAAAGACAGAAAGAGAGTGTGTGGAAGAGTGTGTGTGTGTGTGTGTGTGTGTGTGAGAGAGAGAGAGAGAGAGAGAAAGAGGAGAGGAGAGGAGAGGAGAGAGAGGGGGAGAGAGAGAGAGAGAAGAGAGGCGAAGAGGGAGGGAGCGAGAGAGAGAAAAAGAAGGAAAAGATCCAAGAAAAAAAAAACCCAACCACACACCAGCGGCTGCAGGACTGGGCACAGCATGAGATCCAAAGGCAGGGCAAGGAAACTGGCCACAAGTAGGTGCAATATCCCTTTTCTATTGGCTTTTCCCCCTCCTCTGCCATCTTGCATATCGGTCTCCAGCGCCCCGGGAGGGAGCGCGGGCTGCCTCAGGCGCCGGGCCCGGGTGGCGGAGCGGCGCGGCGGCCCCAGCAACCTGCCGCGTCCAGCTCGGCGCCCGCTCCCCGCGCTCTCGCCCGCGCTCTGGGTGCCGGAGCGGCCCCGCGGCCCTCGGCCCCGCGCAGCGACCCGCCGTGCAGCCCGGGTGGGGGTGGGGTGCGGGCGGCCGAGGCGGGGTGGGAGGAGGAGAGCGCGCGGGAGAGCGCGCGAAGGGGTGGGGGGGCAGAGGCGTCTCCCCCTCCCCTCCCTTCCCCCCAGGCGGGGGAGAGTCGCCTCTGGCCAACCAGCTGGTCCCGGGGGTGGGAGGGGGAGCGGGGCCGGGGGCGGGCAGGGTGCGGGGAGCCCTCCCGAGCCCGGGGCGCTCGCCGGCTGCGCGCCGGGCCGGGCGGCGGGCCGCGAGGGAGCCGCGGTGGCGGCGGGCGGCGCTCGGCCGAGTTGGGAAAAGTTGCGAGGCGGCGGCCCAAGTTGCGCGGGCGGCCGGGCGGGCTGCGCCGAGCGGCGGCTGCAGTAGTGGGCGCTGTGCGCCCGGCCGCGGTGGCCGGCGTGTGCGGCGGGAGGACCCGGGCGGGGAGACAAAGCGGCGGGGGTGCGGAGAGGGGGCGCGGGGCGGGCCGAGTCGCGGGGTGGGGGGCACCCGCACAGGCCGGACTCCCGACTGCCCGGGGCCGCGGGCAGGTGGGCAGCCGGCAGGGCCCGAGAGCGCGCGTGGCGCGCGGGCAGCGGCGGCTCCCGCCGAGGCGGAGGACGGGCGGGAGGGCGCTCTCCGAGCCGCGAACCCCCGGGCTGGCCGAGCGACCCCCGGGGGGCGAGCAGCCCGGGCGCCGCCGGCTCCCGCAGCCCGTGCGCCCTGCCCGGTCGCCCGGTTGGGTGCAGCCTGCGGCCGGCCCAGGAACCCTCCCCGGCGCCCCCTGCCTGCCCGGCGCGTCGCAGCCCCGGCCACGCGAGACGAGGCCTCGGGGCTTTGAGGCCGGGGGCCGCCTGGGACCCCCGTCCCGCACCCTTCCAGCCCAAGCAGCGGGTGACGGTCCCGGCGTGGCCTGCCGAGCCACGGCGTCTGACACGGCGTGTTCCTCGGCGTTTTGTGTAGGCGACGAGGCTGGGCTTGTGCAAATGCTCCAACCCCGACTCTTCGGGCTCTCGCGGCGCCCAGCGCCGGAACAGCCGGGGTGCGTCGGCTCGAGGACTGGAGCGGCTCCTGGGAGGCCAGGCCGCCGAGGTTGTCCCGCCCTTGCGCTGGCTGCAAGCACAAGTCTGTGCTGGCTTTCCCGGCGGACCAGAGAAATGAGAGATTGGGGCGGGGGCTGCATTTCCTCAGCCAAGTCTCAGTCTCGCCCCCCTGCCTTGGCTGTTTAGGACCAAGTTGGGCAGGCGCTATCCGCACCCCACCCTCGTAAGCCCTGCCTAGGTGGTGGCCGTCCGGGGCGAGCTCGGCACGGCGGGCGGGCGGCGGTGGCCGGGCTGGCTGCTGGCGTCCCGGAACCCTCCTACACCCCAAGCACCCCCGCATGGTCCCGATTGTCCCTTGTGATTCCTTCAGCTCGACCCTCGGGGGTCCACCCGACTCTAGGACTCTTTGGGGTCACGCGCCCATCTGGTTTTCTCTTTTGGGTCTTACTTATTTTACTTCGCGCCAGTGGAACTGCTGCTGTTTTCCCGTTTGCTTTTAAATGATGCTCTTGTTTTAACTTTCCGCGGAGCGGGACCTGGAGGGCTTGGGTTCCTACGGAAGGTTAGGAGTATGTGTGTGTGGTGGGGGTGGATCACGGAGAGCCTGTGTCCACTGTGCCCCAGTCGGGGTCTGGATGCTCCAGGCTCTGCGCCTCTCCGCGTGTCCGGGTCCCCAACGAAGTAAAAGCAGAACCCCAAACCTGCGACTTTTTGAACAACGTTTTCAGTCGTTGATGGCCAAGCCAGCTGTATGCTGCTGCATAGTAGAAATTGTCCTGCAAGCACAGGCCACTTAGCCACCTCGCTTCCTATCCGACGATGCTTGTCCGGGGCCGCTGGGAGACTCCCGCGCTCGGCCGCGGTCTCAGAGTGCATCCCAACTTTCACAAACTTTTCTTGCTGAGCTTAGGCTGTCCACTTGCTGGGCTCTGGCCGCTGCCGCTGTTCCCAGCCAGAAGCGCTGCTTTGTGAGATTTTTTTTTTTACCCCTGACAAAATCTGGGTAATAAAGGAAATCGTGTGAAAACTACGGATTTTCGTATTTTGAATCGCTATTTCCTCCCCCTCCCCGTTGGTAGCGCGTAGCACAGGTGATTGGTGATCCCTGCGGTGCGGTTGTCGGTAAACGAAAACTTCGTTGTGCTATGTGCCTGGCTTTCTAGCTCTTTCTGGGTTGAGAGGGGTCCATGTGACCATCCTTTAAAAACCAGAACTACCAGCACCTTGGCAAAAGGAACATGGCATGGAAATGAGTGTTTCTCGATCGGTTGCTTGTTATTCTTTTGGTGATTTGGTGGGGTGTATTTCTTTCGTGGCTGCTAAGTTGGTTTTAGCCAAGGTGCAGTCACTGGTGGACGGATTCTGTAGACCCACAGACTGAAAATGCCCGCTTGGAGTGACGCCGAGAAGGAAGGCACGAGGAAGCCTCCAACTTGTTGGACTCCTTTTTGTACACAACCGATAAATTCATTGTAAACCATTTGGGAAGATGGAAAATTTGTGCTGAAATGATGGAAGAAGGGAAAGCAAGAATATTTGCCTTTGCACTGCCTGAAGCCCCTAGATTTTCTTTTCTCTTTTTAAGAAAACTAAAAGCCCAGGTGACTCAGGCAGCCAAGGGAGACCTCGCAGCTGCTTTCTTGGGCAGTACCTGGGCTGTGCCAGGAAGGCCAGTTGCAGTTCTTCTGGTGTGTGAGTTGGGGGGGGTCCTCCCCAGTCTGTCCAGAGCGGGGCTCATGGAGGCTCCCTCCACCTCTGTCTCCCTCAGAGAGAGAACCTGCGGGCTTCGGGCAGTGAAGTGGACTCCCCTTAGCCAAGGCCTCCCCCCTCAAGTCTCATAAAGAAGCAAAGGCCGTTAGGAGGAGCAGAGGAGCAGGGAGCCGGCACTTGCTACTTCTGAACCTGATGTGGTTGAAGTAGGAAGGTAGACTTAGCTACGTAGCCGTTAAGATGTTAAGGGTTTAAGACCTCTGTATACCGGTCCCCTCGGGTTTTCCATCTCCCAAAACACGCAGATCCCAACAGAGATCTGTGTTCAAATATACGGATATTTGTTTATTTCGGGCTGTTTTGGAGAAGGAAAGACGGAGGCCGAGACCCCTTCTGGAAGGCACTTTATTTGCCATTACTTGCCCATTAACCCAGCTTCAGGCTTCTTTATTCATTTGGCACTTGGAGCTCTCACTCTTCATGCAGTATTTTGATGTGTTTCGCAAAAAAAAAAAAAAAAAAAAAGAAAGAAAGAAAAAAAAAGGAATAGAAAAGAAAAAAAATCTGTTTAGGGGAAGGTAAATTACACTTTTCATGTGGGAAAAGGATGGCTCATCAGCCGCGGATGGGGAGTCTGTAAAAAACTGAACCCCACCCCCTCCAGCCCCCTGCCCTGCTGTAGGGCCTCGGGGGCAGCAGGAACCAGCCAGCGGGCTGTGTGTGTGTGTGTGTGTGTGTGTGTGTGTGTGTGTAGTCTGCTGCTGCCCCGAGCCCCAGCTTTCAGGCACTCTTCATGGAGGTTTCTCACTGGTGTGCCTGCAGACCCGACCTCCTCTGTGGACATGCAACTTGTAGGACGCTGCTAGAATAGCAGTTAGCATGTCGCTCATTCTGTGGGCATTTTGGGCTTCTTGCTTTTGATTTGAAGTAAGCAGTTTCTCTAGAAGTATCTTACTTTTGGGGGCTTCTTTTCTTTTTCAAATTTGGGGCCAGGTTATTTGAGGCCACAGTTGCATGACCCGTGGGCAGAAAGGCCACAGCTGGGGACCCCCTGGCTCCCCTGTCTTCCTCTTGGAACAGGGTGGACCGCCAAGAGAATGGCAGGGCAGGACCGGTTGCTGCCCTGAAGGAGGCCTGGCTGAGCACCCTGGCTGCCTCCAACTCCCTCACTTTGCTTGGAGGGGGGCCCTCAGGGATGCCAGGTGGGCTTGTCACCTTGTGGCCGCCAGCCCTGCCCCTAGTCTCAGTGCCCCCAGTCGCTCATAGCGTCCCATTCCCCAAAGCCCAGCAAACCGCCCAGCCAGCTACTTAGAACTGCCTGGTGTGGAGAAAGTGGCCCTAGATGGGTGCAAGAGTGGGCCTGGGGTTCCCATGCTGGGCGTCCCCCAGCCCAGGCTGCTCAGTCCTGGGCTCCTGTGTGTGTGTGTGTGTGTGTGTGTGTGTGTGTGTGTGTGTGTGTGTGCACCCAGTTTCCCCAGCTGGTGTGCTCTGACTGTGTAAACACAGGCACACACATGCTCACACACTCACAGGTCCTGGGTTCAGGAACTCTCTCCTGCAAGGGCAGGCCTCTTCTTGCCGAGGCCAGTGCTGAGGGCTCAAGGGGGACTGGCCCCAGGCAAGGGTGCTAGGTATGTGTTTCTGGAGGGGTGGTTAACCCTTCCTCAGCTGGAAGCTGCTGGCTAGGCATTTTCCCAAGTTGTCTGTGGGGTCTGCTTTTCTTTCCTCCAAGAAGGCACAGAATGAGTCATTAGTTCCCTCTCTTCCTTCCCACTCCATCTGCCATGATCTTCATTCTAAAATTAGATTTTCCCCTTCCCTCTCATCAGGCCTTCCAATGTACCAGGGATTCTCAGGGAAATTGGCAGTGTGATGAGACCCAGTGTGAAGAAGAGGGGAGGAAGGGACAAGCAAGTGGGGTGGGGGGAGCGGGCTGCTGTCCATTCCTGCCTTGCACAGATGGCTATGAGCATCCCTACCCCACCCCATGGGGTGAAAAAGTGTAATTCTTGTTAATTAC